GTGTGGTGAACTCACTGGTGAGATATAGAGGAATTTCACATTACCCAGTTTCACCCGGTTTCAAGCCGGTAATGATCCGTTTTAAAGTGAACCGGTACAGGGCTGCCATTTCACACAGGGCTTTCCCCTTCCGGTAAAGAGCTGGATCTGAAGCGGTTTGCCATTTCAGACTGCACCGCTTTTTCCCGCTTTTCCCCCGCCGTTTTTCGCCCGTGTGGGCGATCTCCGGCTTTTTTTTTTAACGTTCGCTTTAGAGTGCTATAGCGCTATAGCAGTATAGCAAAATACTCCATGCATTCCAATGGGATTGATATAATGCTATTCTGTCATAGCGCTATAACGCTATAAAGCGACTGTTAAAAAAAAAAGCCGGAGATCGCCCGCGCGGGTAAAAAACGGCAGGGGAAAAGCGTATCGGAACCGGGAGAGGGAACTGAAGACTACTCGGAAGCAGTTGACAGGTAAAACGCTTCAGTCCCAATTCCTTAACGGGACAGAAGCATTTGTGTATGAAATGGCAAATATATTCCGGAAGGGAACCGGTTCTCAAACGGGTTCTGTCTGAAATGACAGACCAGAAACCGTTTGGGAACTGTTCCTCTTCCGGAATATATCGCCTGTCTGAAATTCCTCATACTCTGGAATAATTCCAACCCCCAGGTCATGAGTTCTAACCCCACAGCCTGCCATAAAAGCAGCCTTTGTGATGGGCCAGTACAGGTTCCGAGCCCCCAGGTCCCAGTGGGGGTTCCCCTGCTTTCGAGGTCTTTGATTCGCTGTCAGCCAGCTGGCCGGTGGGGGAACCCTACCATCAAACATGCATCTTGCTGTGCAACATCCCTGATGTGATGACATCAACCGGAAGTGATGTCATCGTTTCATCTATGTCGGGGGGGTGACACTTTAGTTTTTGGGCAAACTCTATGGTTTTGAAGGCAAAAAACCCATAGAGTTTTGCCCAAAAACTAGAGCATCACCCCGCCCCCCGCATCAGTGACGTAATGATGTCACTTTCTGGTGATGTCATTGCACAGAAGATCTTGGAAAGGACCCGGGACCTGGAACTGAGCTCAGAATGGCTTCAATTCCCTGCACACTTGTATCGCTTTGGTTTATTTGTTTGTTTGTTTTTAAATAACCATTTCAGACTAAGAGGGGAAAGGTCAAAAAAAGAAAATAATTCCATACACCAACGCCTACGTTGAGTGGTTTTAAAAAGAGACCCATGGGAAAGAATATCCTTGGAGGGTGAAAAGCCATTTCAGATCTTGAACCTCCGGTTCCACAACAAAACCCCCGGCAGACCGTTAAGTGAGTCCCAGAACTGCATGCTGTGTTTTTTTCTGGCTGCCAGCTAGGATTGCCAGCTGAGGGAACGGAAATGCCCGGAGGTTTGGGGTGAGTGGGGAAGGCAGGATTTGGGGAGGAGAGGGACCTCAGCAGGGTATAATGCCACAGAGTCCACTCTCTGAAGCAGTCGTTTCCTCCAAGGGAACTGATCTCTGTAGCCCGGACTCTGGAGATCAGCTGAAATAGCAGGAGATCTTCAGGTGCCACCTGGAGGTTGACAACCCTACAGGGGGGACAGTCCAGGTGACAGACTGGTGTTTGCTAACCCCCAAGTGGGGCCTGGAGATCTCCCGGAGTCAAAACTGGTCTACCGACGACAAAGATCAGTTCCTGTGTAGAAAATGGCCGCTTTAGAGGGTCGGCTCTATGGCGTTATGCCCCGCCCTCCTGAGGCTCCGCCCCCAAATCTCTAGGAATGTCCCCAATCCAGAGTTGGCAGCCCTCGTAGTGATTAATCTACGTAGATGGGAAGGGGCACTGTTCCACCATGAGATTCCCTCTCCTGAGCTCTCCGAACCAAGGGTGGATTCGGGGCCAGTTTTTTGGCCAATCCACTCCAGGACTCAGAGCCAGGGAAGGAGACTGGTATCTGTGCCATTCCAATGCAAACATCCAGGGGTCATTTCCTACAGGAGCGGAGCTCCAGCAGGAAAGAGCCCAGGGGGCGGGCACATGCAACAAGCCCCACCCCCTGCTCCCAGCAGCCCTCAGTCAGAGCAAGAAGCAGCCAGGTAAATTGCAGAGCTTATTCAGGTACAAGCTCTCCCTCCTCTGCAAGGATAGATCTGCATGTTCCCCCCCCCCAATAGCTTGCAATCCAAAACAGTCCACTGGAGCCTGAGCGGTGGGTGTTGCCTTCTGACACACTTCCAGTAATATCAGGGGGTGTGGCGTATGCAAATAAGTTATGCAAATGAGTTATGCTAATGAGTTCCTGCACCTCGTTTTCTACGAAATGACCCCTGCAAACGTCTGTAGTAACACCGAAAGGTTGAGTTGCCAGGTCCCCCTGGCCACCGGTGGAGGGTAGGTTTGACACCTCCATCTTGGGAATCTCCTGGAGTTTTGAGAGTGGAGCCTGGGGAGGACAGGGACCACAGTGGGGTACACAGTGCCACAGAGTCCACCCTCCAAAGCATCCATTTTCCCCAGGGGCACTGATATCGTTAGTCTAGAGATGAGCTGTAATTCCAGGAAATCTCCAGGTCCCACCGGGAGGCTGGCAACCCTACCACAAGAGCTTGGTGTGCACCTGGCCCAGAGATGATAGACGTCCCTCACCTGGGGAGACAAAATGCCGTGATCCAACCCGGAATGGAATGCAAAGAAATAAACCACTAAATGTGGGTTCTCAAATCTTGTTGAGCCACTGGGCACTTTTGGGATTTTGGGTGGCCGCCATGGGAGGTAGGAGTAATGTCAAAATGTCTACCATGGAAGGCAATGATAAAATGGCTGCCATGGGAGACAGGACCAATCTCAACATGGCTGCCATGGGAGGCAATGATAAAATGGCTGCCATGGGAGGCAGGACCAATCTCAACATGGCTGCCATGGGAGGCAATGATAAAATGGCTGTCATGGGAGGCAGGACCAATCTCAAAATGGCTGCCTTGGGAGGCAATGATAAAATGGCTGCCATGGGAGGCAGGACCAATCTCAAAATGGCTGCCTTGGGAGGCAATGATAAAATGGCTGCCATGGGAGGCAGGACCAATCTCAAAATGGCTGCCTTGGGAGGCAATGATAAAATGGCTGCCATGGGAGGCAGGACCAATCTCAAAATGGCTGCCATGGGAGGCAATGATAAAATGGCTGTCATGGGAGGCAGGACCAATCTCAAAATGGCTGCCT